TCATCACTTACAGAGCTCAGAGGGGAGCATACAAACCTTCCATCCTTGATGACATCACATGTCCTGTTATTGACCTCGTTGTCCATCCTGTGGCGAGCCTGAAACCGGAGCAAAGAATGTACTCGCTGCTCTGTGCCACAACAGGAGAAATGAGCTACACTGGGAGGGTTTTACTTTTTGCATTAACAGAACATGGTTCTTACAATGTCATCCACCAGGTCTTTGACTGCAGTTATTCCCAGCACCAAGAGCAAGGGCACCAGTGTTGTGTACCATGACAGGGTACTTATTTGAGGAATCGACTACAAAAGACAGATAAAATCAGGTCAGTAGGGATCATCAATCACATTTAGGTCAGAGATATTTCACAGTTACCCGACTAGAGAAAAAACACATCAGAGAATTTTAAGTCAGGTTGTGAAAATGAACAAAACTCTGTGGGAAGAGTATGGCTGTTACACTACTTAGAAATCAGCTTCCCTCTTGCACTGGCTCATACAGTGTGGTGATGCTTCTGATTTATGAGATTAACTCAAGAAACATTTTTTTCCTCACGAAATTCATGAGCTCTGCAATGAGTTCATTCTAATTCTGTACAACTAGCTCATCCCAGAACCCTGCCGTAGTTCATCCGCTTTTGTTGCAGGTTTCTGTTATGATGGGTTTGGTCTCTGCAGCAGTTCAGATAGTGCCCCACAATTCCCTGACAGGACAGCATTGAATTCTGTCATAAATATTACTGAGCTCACATTCCCTTCACAGTGAGTACTCTCCATCTTGCTTACCTGCAATATGAGAAGAACAAGGAAATAGAAATTGGCTGCTCTCTTGAACTGTTCAAACAGATTCAGAGGTAAAAAAGTGATGGGGTTGTACTTGTACGTCTTAATTGCATTTCCCTGTGGGAGAAACCCAAACATCAGTCAAACAGCAGAGCTTCTCCTTCCAACACAAATGTACAGTGTGTATTTTTAAGTTCCTAATTCTCTATCTCACCTTAAACACTCTTGCTAGACGCTTGATTTTCCATTCCAAAACTCCAACCCAGTTATTCTTCCCCCCTTCTGCTGGAAACACTGAGGAATTGTGAACGGCTTTTACACCACTCATCAGCCATTCCAAAGATTTTACCGGGATTAAGGAAGCATTCACCCGACAATTAGCACCTCATTGGGGAAAAAAAACCACTTACCGCATATTTGCTTTTCTTGAAGCACAGGAAGATTGTTCTCTTGAAGCCCGGCTGGTCATAGAAGCGCTGGTCGTTTGCTTTAACTTGCCAGCTGCAGTCTGGAAGGGACAAAAGGGGCCAAAAAGCATTATAAACACGAGGGAACAAATCTGACACTTTCAGGTTTTCCCTCAAATCCATATTTTAAAGGCACTTTCAACTGAAGCAAGGCTGGTACCTGCTTTATAATACATATCCTTAAAAAAAAACCTTTTCAAGACATTTCCAGGCTGTTTGTCTTTATTAGCAATTCAAGTACATTCAGAGGTAGGGAGAAGCGTTCCTTAACGTTTGAAAGTTCTGTGGGACACCTCCAGAGTAATATTTATTCATGCTAAATTCCTTTCTCTCCCCTCTTTTGGTTTGCCTCTAAAAGAGGCACTAAGCACTCCAACCTGGGTATCTGCCTTGCTGGAAATGAAGAGGTCAGTTCACCTTTTGAAGGCAATTATTTGCTTTAACCACACTGTGCCATGGTTTTCATTCACACCCATTTAAAAAATACAAATCCGAAGCGCTCATTTTATTTCTTCAGCCACCAGTTTTGTCCGACTGTGAGAAAACTCAGGAACGGGAATTGCATCCGTCAAGTCATTTTCTGTGCCAGCTCTTTCACGGGCCACCGCTTTTCCTCCCAGGCCCTGGAGCTCCCGTTCCCCCAGCCTGCAGAACAGACACCCTGCTGCCCACATCCTGGGAATTCCTTTGCCAGCTTTGGAAGCTGGCTCCCGACAGCTCAGCCAGCCCGGGAAGGATGAGGCAGGCAGGAATTTGAAATGCAGCTTTCCTGACTCACCGGCCAAGCATCTCCCCCTGTGCTCCAGCCCACGGTGATTGTCCCTAATGGGTGGCTCTTCCTGGTTTCATGAGATCTCTTCCCCATTCCCGGGATGAAACTCCCGACGGCAGAGGCGTGGGCTCGGCTGTGACTAACACTTCAGAACCCAAATCCGAGTGCAAAGGCGGGGTTTTTTTTTTTTTTTCCCACCCAGCATAGAGCAAATTCCATGCTGACATATTTGGACTTTCCCTGTGACTACACAACTGTCATTTCCAGCACCTTGGTTACAAATCCAGAAGATAATAGAGAAATATTTATCTAGAAGAACCATGTTTTGAGTTAAATATTATATGCATGAATTTAGAAAGTTACAAAGTTTGTCAAAATGACAGGGCATAAAGAAAAACAAAATCTACATAAACATTTCTTTAACACATTCCAAAACCATTGCAGGGTTGATAAAACTAATAGGAAAACTGTTAAATTAGGTCTGAGGTAAAACCTGTAGGAAGGAAGCTCCTCAAAATTACTTTAAAGTGTGATACTAACATCTAATATTTGGCAAGCTGCTTTGGTAATTCATCAACTTTAAAGGATGTCATCATAAAAAAATCTTAAACTCAACATCTGACGGGTGCTTGTAAAATGACAACACATAACAGGTGGCTATGAAATGAGAGCTGTTCCCACACAAACAGGAAAAAAATCTGTATAAATTCCACAGGCTCTGGTTACATTGAAAATACTTGTGTTGCACCATTAGAAAAGGGAATTTAGGGGAGCTAGAGATGTTTCTTGGGTAGAGGTTCAGTGCAGGGATGCCAGAAGGACTCTTCCCACTGAGGTTCTTATGCTGGCAGCAGCCACAGGCTGTACCTGCTGGTTCCTTTGAACTCCTCCCACTCACCTTTTACCTTTCAGGAAACGCATGAGGCTATAAAATGAGCAGTGAGGTGGAAATCTGCTCTGCAGAAGCAGAACTCCAGGGAAAACACTGACTGAGCACAGCAAAATGTTTATGCCGGAGCCCATTTCCAGAGGACCGGGAAAGCAAGTACCTGAAGGTCTGTCTGAACGGTTCCCAGAGCACAGGCCATGTACATCCAGGGCCTGCCTTAATTAACAGGAGGTCACCATGCTCATTATCTTTGCGCAAGGAGCAGTGGCACAGGACTGGGCTGCAGGTTGGAATGAAGCTGAGTTTCATTCTGATATTTGTTAAACTGAACTGCCATCAATTTACTCCTCCAGAGTCAGATAAGCCATTCCAAACCTTACCTGACAAATAAACACAGAAGTCCAATCGGTCCCTGAGGCTCAGCCTCTGCATCCAGCATTGTGCACTCCCCAAATCAGGCTCATGAGGTAGTTACCTTTTTTCCCAGGATCTCGGCTCTCCTCGGCGTCGCTGCTGGTTTGGTTGGGTCCCGGTTCAGCCCCAGGCTGCTGACGGTCCAACTCGTCCTCTGTCTCGTCGTCACTGTACGGCACCACCTCATCGTTGGGCTGGGAATCCTCCTCGAAGGTGGTCTCCGAATCCCTTTCTGAAATCATGCTGCTAGCACCCTGCCATCATTTTGGACAAGTTAGGGAAAGGAGCTCATGTAGCAAGTGCTGGAAACCACATCTCTGGTTTTACTCTGCTGGTGCTGGTCACCAGTTTCCTCAGAGCAGCACAGGGCACGTACTTGGTCTTCCAGCACTGAGCAGAATCAGGGGCAGTTCCTGTCCCAGCCAGCCCTTCATTACTGTTCTGCTACGTGTAATTACACCCCGCAGCCCCAGGAACACCGTGTGCTCCCGACGCAGGACGTAGGAACTGGGAGCACACAAACATGGCTCCCAGTGGCATTACATCGTGCCCTGAGGAGCCACAGGAGCTGGATCTCTGCTTCGCCACGGTGGGACGTGGAACTGGGCATGGGACATGTCCAGGGTTTGGGTCACACAGCTGATCCTCCATCCTGGCCTGCAGAGCCTCACCCAAACCAGCCTCGCTTCCTCTCTTCCCATGGGCTGCATGCACATCACTGCAAGATCCCACATCTCGCTGTCCAAACACCTGAGGACACCAGAGGATGCATTTTGGCTCAGCCCTGAGCTGCATCAGAGGAGGGATGAGCTGAGGCCATGCCCATGTGCCCTTCAGCTCTGGAGGGTGTGATCCTAATCCTGAACTACACATCAATTCCCAGCTTGCCCCTTGACCTGCCTCACTACCATGGCACCGCCTTCGCTAACAAACTCAGCAAGCAGCAGGGCCGGCACCAAACACGCTGACATCCCCCTCAGCTTCTGGTTTTGCAAAGCTGAATTGTCTCCCCTTCCTAATATCTCCTATGAGAGGGAGATAAATATTCCATGAGCACACACTGTGCTCCTCGAGTGGCAGGCTGCTGGCAGGGAGCCCGAGGCAGGCCACGCTCCCCAGCCGCAGCACTGCAGGGCCTGCCCAGGACAGACTGACAGCCCACAAAACACAACAAATCCACCAGGCTGAGTGTACTGGAATGCACACAACTTCTCCCAAGGCCCACACAAGCTGTTGGAGGCTTCTCCCTGATGGGATTACCCAGGAGTATGACAGCTGGTCACTAACACAGGTGTAGAACCTGAGACTTCTGTGACAGAGCACGTTTTCCTAAATAGCCTTGGAGTTAGGAAATATACCTCAAGCTCCAATTCAGGCCCCTGAATACCTCACTGTGATATTTTGGTTTATTTCTCTTCTTTTCCATGTTTTAATTCTTTCTGTCCTGCTAACACATTCCTCCCACACACAGTCCCTAGAACACAAAATGCCACCAGATCTTTAACTGGCTCTCACTCTACAACAACTGAAACAAGCTCATATCCCTGGCACACAGAGATGCAGCTCCTAGTCTATTAAACTTTACTGATTAACTGCTTAATGATTAATGAACTAATTAGTCATGCGAAGGGGTAGATGAGATGTCAAAAACATGCTGCTTTTGTTCTCCATTACAGATGTGTGCCTACGTGGCAATTCCTACAACGCCACCAGCAGTAGCCTGCGATGCTCACTGGGAACAGGTGCCAGCCAAGTGATCTGGGGTAAGGTTAAATTAACTGTACTCACTTTCCCTCTTCAGAGAACTAAACTGCCACTGGATCTCATTAAGTGTTACCCTGCAGGCAGCACAAGTGCTCTGTGCTTTGGGCACACCATTAGCATGCTGCAGGAGGCAATGGAATTGTGCCCGGGGCTGGCCGGGAGCCTGTGGAAAAGCTCCCACAGTTAGGAGAGAGATGAAAGCTGCTGTGGGACCCAGGGCAAAGGAGTCCTCCCCTGACAGGCTGACAAATTGGTTTAGAGTTAAGTTTCTTGACACCTGGTCTGGAAGAAAAGGGCTGGCTGGGAGGCCAGAGCCGTGTCAGAAGTTCAGAGGAAGGTGGGGAGGGATCACGATGTGAAAGGGGAGATGGGAGGAACCGACAGCATGGAGCACAGAGATGCCAACTAATCCCGAGGCAGCAGGTAAGAGAGGGGAGCACACACCCAGCAGGAACTCAAGGGGAGCAAACACGGCAAGAAGAGAGGGTCACTGATTTTGGTCACTCTTCTGAGGACTGTGGAAACAGTTCACGGAGGGCCTGAGATGGAACAACACAGTTGTTAAATACTGCTTTATAAAATACTCAGGGAACACTTTAAAAAGCTGGTGTTTGGCTGCATGGCCATAATTTTCTAGTTCCTGACTTGACAACAGGGGCTTTCACACTGTTTCAGATCAGAAAACCTTACATTAACCACTTCAGTCTAGAGGAAGTGTCAGCTCACACTGCCTGGGTGGGTGGGGAGCAGTGCCCAGCTCCCAGCTCTGCCTTCTAGCCTGGAAAATCCCACTGATCCAACAGCAGGGTGGATATATGGGGAGATAAAGGATATCAAAACAGTATTAGGTACAGGTTTAAGTATACCTGATCCAGTTTATTTACTAAAAGGGCAAATTTCACAGTGCTTCAGTAATTCAGGTTTTGTGTCTACTTCTGCCTCAGGGCAAGCACCAGATTATTTGGAATAAAGTAAACCTTGTAAAAACTCCACTTACTGCACTTGTTTCAAGGCAGTAAACAACAATCCAAACCAATCTTATTCTAAATTCTTATCTGGAGAGTCACTGCACATGACACTGCTGCAAGAACCTGGGGTGACTTCTTGTAAATCACTCAAAGTGCCCTGAAAGTTAATGAGTCCATCTAGAACAAGGGACATGAATAGTAAAAGGATTAAAACGCCAGTAAAGCTGTTATTTTGTTTATTATGGATATAAAGACCCACAAGCCTGCCATTACACACCTGCTGGCACCACAGCCCACACCCTGCATGCTCCTGTCCTTGGCACCATATTCTGCACTACCTCATCTCTGGCAGTGCCAAACTAAACAGCTGCTCAAACGTGGCCATGCACTGTTCTTCCAGAACACAAGGAGATCGGTATTTTAAGCAAGAATCATAGAGCAAACTCAAATACTACAAAAAATAACCCAGAGACCCTTCTGAACTGCTTCAGGTCTCTGGAGTTCAAATAGGACAAAAAAGCTACGGCTAGATGTTTCCCTGATTGAACTTGGCATTTAAAAAGTACTTAAATGCAAAGCCTGATCCTCAGACATGTAAGAATTATTTCTTTACTAGGTTTTACTGTAGCATCCAGCATTGCAAAACAAAACCTGCTTACAGGAGGGCCGAATGCAAACTCCCAAAACTGCAGTAGAAAGCCATGTCTGCCATCAGCCTCTGGGGTGGGGTTCCCACAAGGACCTACTGGCAGATGTATGATCACTCCAATTACATGTTCCCTAAGAGACAGCAGTAATTATTGTGCCATCTTCAGCTGTCCCACACTGCTCACCTCGCCAGTAACGGAGAGCCGGAGTGGGAACAAGGACAAAGAGGCTGGTAGGGAGCAGCAAGCAAGAGGACACCCTCAGGGCTGCCACCCTGGAGAGCAGCCACAGCAGAAATCAGAGCTCACAGAGTGCTTGCATGGCTCCAGCAGAGCAGACAGTCCCATTCAAGGGGCTCAAGTCCATATCCAGCTTTTGCCCTGAGAGGTTTCAGACCCATCTTTCATCCATGGGTCAGGATTAAGGGACAGCTCTAACAGCACTGGAGACCTGAAATTTGGAATTGCAAAGAGAGCCCAGCATCCACTCTCTGGTCATGATCCATCCTCCAGCCCAGTAATGACCCAGTTGGTACCAGTTAATGCTCCTAGAGTTATTTTTAACACCCCCAAAGCACAGTCAGAAGCCAAGGCCTCTGACAGCAGGATATTACATTTCTGCTCTCCCCTCAGGGATCCCAGCCTAAGGCTTTGGCAGAGTATAGGCCTTCATTAAAAATGTGTTCAGCAACTCATCTCCCTGGAACCAGAGCTGCAACAGGGAAACAGGCAAATCAGAAACTGGATTTGCTTACAATAGATGAGATGGATCGCTGATTACTCACAGCAGATGGGAAATGTTACTGGTAACAAGTGCTTGGACAGGCAGATAGAAGGGTCTTCTGAACAGCTAAAACCTTCCAGGTAATCTTTATGACATTTTGAGAGGAAAATAAAGCAGCTAAAACAGCATGAATCAGCACAAATAGGCCAAGGAAATAAGCTTCACTCCAAACACTACTAAGCTTCAGGTAGATTGCCATGTAAATCACATGCTTAAAGCTGATCAATTTATAGATTTATTTCACACACAACAGCTCCAGTTACTTCCCTGAATGACTACTTTACAGTAATTGAACACCCAAAAATTATATCTTGAAGATAATGATTTCCCTTAGTCATCTGTTCTCAAACACACTGGCTGTCACATGCACCCCAAGAAAGGTAAAGCCCAGCCCCTGGGATGCCCAGAGAAAGGTGAGCTCAGGAGTTCAGGTATGCACTTTGAGCCAGCTGAGGCTCCAGAGTGTAAGGTAATGGAACCCAACTCCTGACCTACACATCTTCCCTGCACCGTGACCCTGGGAGCAGTTCCCACTGCCTAACACGAGGTGACAGAATCACCCCCAAAAGGCTCAAATCAGAGGGACTCCAGTATGGCTGCAGATAAAATGCTTGTGGGAAGTGATGCACTCGCATAACTCAGGACAGCACATGTCACATCTGAGACACAGCATGTCATACCTGAGATCTCCACACAACAGAACCACCAAGGACTCCATCTCTCCCTGCAAGGTGAGAAATCCTTGGGGATCCTGTTCTGCAAGTGGCAGGTCCCAGAGGAGTCAGCCTGGCTGCACCATGGAGTGCTGCAGGGCACCCAGCCCCTCATTTTACACACACAATTTTTAAATACAAAGTGTATCTATTTGATTCACAATAGTACCTTAACACCAGCACCTAGTACTGCTCTGGAGGCTGTACAAACTCTGAGAATTAAGGACTAATTCCAGCTCCAGGAGACTTTTAAATTGCTATTGTATGCAGCCAAGCTTGCAACACCCACAGATCTTTCCTTCGCAAGGAACCAGCCCCAGTCCCTCCTCCAATGCCCTAATAACCCCGATGACCTGCACCGTCAGTAGGCAAACACCACAGTAAAACTGTAACACTCTGGCACCACCAAGCTCTGAAAATCTCACTTTAAAAAGCTGCTCATGCCAACCCTGGCTGCAGGGAGGTGACAGTTCCTCCCCTGAACACACTGCAGACCTGTTCAAGCAAACTGAGACATCAAGAGCCTGAAACCCTCCAGAGGGAGGAGAGAGGGTACAGTTCTGTGCTACTGACAAATGTTCAAGTCCCATCTTGAGGAAAAAAAATTAAAATATAAAGCAGAAGCTATTGTGTACTCCCTGGTGTAACTACTTATTAAAACTTGTATGAAAATAAGTATGAAGGACTTTCCAATGTACCTAATTTTTCCTGATGAGCCTACAGGATTTGACACAAGGAAGAGATTAACTGGACACCGAGAACTGAACAGAAAATCAAGAAATCCAAGAAAGAGACCCACAGTGTACAGGCCAGCTGCCTGAGGTTATGCAAAAATGCTTGAAGATGGGCCATTGCAGAAACAAAATCATCATTTTCCCCATTATCTGCTCTAGGATTTCTCATTAACAGATCTGCAGAGTTCTGTCATTTAAAGTCCAAGGCAAGGCAAGCTATCTTTGCAGAAGATAAGAGGGCAGGTAACCTTTGCTCAAGCTGCAGGTTCCAGCACACTCTGAAGGGGTTTCAGCTTGCCTTTTAGAGGGTGTTACCTTGCTCTCGAGGTTCATGTTATACAACAGCTCATATTGAGGTTAATAGAGGAAAAAAGAATTCTTGTTGTGCATGCTTAAACTGCATTATTTGGAGTAGAAGATTTTTGGAACTACACAGAGTTTTTTTCCTAGCAGTCACCGTCACCATCAAAACCAGCAAGTAATTTTAACTGGCTAAATAAAGGTTACTTCCTGCTACCAAGACTGGAGATTCCATTAATACACCTCTTCTGGTAGCATCTACAATAGACACTGAAGCCATTTTCCTAAACTGACCTTTATCCAATGGAGTGTGTGACTGAAGCTCAGACTGCATCACAAATGCTGCCACTGGCCACTCACAGAGAATCCGCTGCCTTCAGCTTCAAATCAGGCTCCATCTGCAATAAAACCATGTAGAAAATGGTTTATTGGCTGATTCCACCTTGTGTGCACACAATAACAAAAAACTATTCTTTAGAAAAATTGTGAAATTAATTTGCCTTGCAAAATTTCTTATGCTTTGTGTGGAGCCATTTGTCCTATTACCCTAAGGTGTCTGGGCTCTGTGACAAACTCATGGCTTGAGGCTGGTAGAGACCTTTCAAAGATATTAACAGCTACACCCTGTAGCTGTACAAAGTACAGTCATTCGTGCATCTTTCCTATCACCATCAATTGTCAAATGAAAATCATATTGCAAGTGTATATCAGAACACATGGGGAAAACCCAGCACACGTTCCAGAGGGATTCTGTAAGCTTGCCAAAAAGCAGTGCTACCACAGAGCCCGGCACCTGCCAAGGAAGGCTCAGAGAATCTCAAAGAATCGGTCTGGAACGAGAATCGTGCCCTTCACCCCGACAAGCAGAGAGACAGAGAGGTTAAGTGATTTGCCCAAGGCCATTGGGTAAGTCACTGACAGAGCCAGGGTTGGGTTGCAGAAGCTCCTGGCACACGTCCTGCATTCAATTACAGCTGCACAAAGCATCTCCTTTAAAAGAGAACTGGAAAAGCCCGCGGCAGGAAGAACAGCAGAACCCCTCGCATCTGAAACATCTGAAACAACAACCAACCGCCTTTCCACGTTGAAGAGCAGGCAGCACTTCGTGCTCTCGGCCCTCTAACAACAGCCACACCAACAAGAGAGCGGAGAAATAAATCCCAGCTCATTTTAAAATGGCTCCACTGCAAGTGCTTTTGGAATTCACTATGCCAAACTCAAAAGCAAAGGTCCAGAACATTTACACGCTGTCTTATATGGCAGAATTAAGTGAGAACAGTTTAGAAGTTACTGAAAATAATCTCTACGATAGCTACAAGTTAACACAGAGACAAACAGAGCCTTGGGACAGGTACAAAAGCAACCAGACTAAGGTGACCACCAGTGCAAAAGCTGACAAGGAAAACATCAAAAACAGCCAGACACTACTTGTCTTCTAAACCAGGCTTTGAGGACAACGACAAATGAAATCCCACGACCAAACAGAAACCTGAGGAAGCCTCATCCAGCACAGCCACTAACAGGATGTTAATCCAGGGACTCTCACCAGCAGCAGCAGCCACGCAGGTGGGGACTGCTCAAGGGCCAGGCTGCCACCCCAAGTCCTACGGTCCCGGCTCTCCACAGCCAAACACCCCGGCTGTTACTCATTGCCAGCACTGGTCCCTGCCAGAGCTATTTGGCCTCTTCGGTTTCAAACCGCTCCTGCTGACACCCGAGCCAGCGGTGCAATGCTCCATTAGCTGCTCCATTCAGCACAGCTGCATCCGACCTCCAAGGACGGGATGCTATTTAAGCTATAAGCACGAAGCACGAGCTAGCAGCACCGAGACACCAATTTTGTTTTGTTTTCCAAGCAAGTCACTGACCGCACAAGTAACTTGCCCAGTATATTCTACTGCAGAGTTACTGTTCCTTAATGCAGAAAGCTATTGCTGCTCTGATGACTGCATAAACACCGACCAATGAGTAATCACTCGCAGCCCTGAAGGCTGTTCTCATCGTGCATAGGCATGGGCGGCGGGGGAAAGCCGGGAGTTGGGCAAGCAGCCCGGGGCCACGAGTCAGTGCCTGGGGGGCTCGGGGGGACAGGAGATAGCCGAGCTGCCTTACCTCGCCTTCCAGCAACCTCCTGCTCTTTCTTTAAACTTCAGAGCGGAGCGACTCTGCGCTAAGTTCGACCATCAGCGGCCGCATATCCCGCGGGTGGGAGCGAGGGGGACGCCGATTCCCGCGGGGTCCCGCCGGGCTTTAAACCCTCCGAAACAACGCGTCGGGGCTCCCGCTCCGAGCCGGCGATATGCTGGGAAGGGAAGAGAAAAGAAGGGAAGGCGTTCCGGGTGCGCCCGAGGTCAGCTCCGGCCGCACCTGTGCGGCGGGGCGGGCCGGGACAGAGCCGGCCCTGAGCCCCGGCCCGCACCGAGCGCGGCACCGGCGGAGGTGGCGCCGGCCGGCCCCGGTGGCGATGGACACATCGTGCCACCGCCCCGCGGCTGCGGGCGGCCCCGGCCCCCGCTCCGGCAGCCCCTGCCCCGCAGGAGCCCCCGGCCTCACCTGTGCCCGCGGGTTCCCGCTGGCTCGCTCAGCGCCTCCGGAGCCCCGCGCCCGCCCCGGCTGCCTGCGAGCCGCCGCCAGACCGGCCGGACGGGTTCCCCCGGTTCTCCGGAGCAGGCGAGGGGCCGCAAGGCAGCAAGGGAGTAGGGCAGCAGGGGAGGGGCCGCCACGGCCGGCCCCCCGCCCGGCCCGGCCCCCGGCCCGGCCCGGCCGCCGCTCCCGCCGCTCTTGGCACCCGCGGGAGATGCTGCCGTGGGGGCCGGCGGCCGTTCTGGCACCCGCGGGACGTGCCGAGCTGCGGATCCTGGAGGAACCCTGCTCTGGTGAAGCTCTGGTGATAGCTGGGACCTCCCGCCTGGCGTTGTTCTAAATTACAGGATTGCTTTATCGCTTATTTTGAGAGCTTTGGAAGGGTATAGCATTTTAAACTTTTGGCCTTTTAAAAGCTCCAAACTGACTCCTGGTTTCCAAATCCTTTTGAGGAAAGACTGGAGACTTGGAGGATGCACGAGAGTGATATTCTTAACCGATGGTTTTGCTTATTAATAAGCAGATTAATTAACAGATAAAGTTATTTATCTTTATATATATATCTATATATATATATATTTAGGGATGACAGTAGTGCTGTTCTGCCATATGCACATTTGTTGACAATTGATGCAATTTAGGACAAGTGGAATGCAGATACGGTTGCTGATTTGATTAAGTATAAAAATCTGGAAAATTCTGTCTCTTAAAGTGATGATGGGCTGCTGCACTGTACTAAAAGCGACCTTTGTTTTGGACTGGCAGGTATTGTAGAGATTACTTGGTTGCTTTTTCAACAGCAACAATATTCAATTTTCCTGTGCCAGAAAACTCTTGTTCCAACACACTTGGTTTTCCTGGACCAAAGATGTGATGCTGAGTTCCAGAGCTATGTCTTTCAGCACCTTTCTGTTTTTCTGCCTGCCTCAAATTCCTCACACCAGAATAAAACCAAAGTTAATTAAAATCAGGAACATTTTGGCTGAACAAAGTAGCAGAGGTTCCTTGTGCTTTTGACAATTCCTGCTCTGGGCAGGACATTCATTCCTGTCCTGGGCTGAACATTTGGCTTTGAGTTCAGTATTCACAAGGTTGCTGCATGCAAAGCCTGGTGTGTGGGACACACTGTCAGGAAGGAGATTACTGGAGATAAAAGGGCCCCTTAACAGTGACTAATGGCCCAGGCCAAATATTAGTTTTACACTTACGTCCTACAGATCCGTGTCTGAGGGAAACAGCAGCTGTTCCCTGCACTGGGGCCATGAGGAGGAGCATCCGCCGCTGCCCCTCTCAGATCCTGCTCTTGATCACTTCCAGCAGGTATTTCCAGTTCTGCTTCAGGACTTTTCTCCTTCATCCTCTCCTTTATTCCTCAGTCTCATCTTTCACTCGTGCTCCTTCTCTCCAAAACAGCAACATGCCCTAGTAAAAAATACACTCCTTTCTGTCCCACTGCTCCTCCTCTCCTTCCCAGCCTCTATTCCTGTTTGTCTTATTTTGTCAGGGTTTGGGACACCACTGTTATACATATCAGTAATTCTGTATTTAAGCAGCTCTGAACACACCTATTTATTCACATTCTTATTTGATTCATTCTCTTAATATGAAGAAACTGGGAAATAATGCAGATAGTCTTCCTAAGCAATCCTCTCCCTGTTCATCTTTCCATGGTTTTCTCTATCAATTAATCCAAACGGGGGGGAAAGAGTTTAATTCTCTATACCTTTCAGCTAATCTGGAATCAAAAGTAATTTAGATGGTAATTTTGAAAATTATTAATTTGAGGAAAGGGCAGATGCTGCAACTTTTACGGTTTATAGACAGAAAGTAAATGGTGGCAATTCTTCATGCTGAAAGAATTGTGCCTTTCTATGTCAAAACATGGAGCGTTTCTTCTTTTTCCTTATTTCCTCCCCCATTTAAGTGAAAAACTTTCAGACAAAATTGATAGATTAGAGATCTCCCTAGGCTAAAGGCCTGTTTCAGTGTCAAGAAGGCTGAGCCCAGATCTTTTGGGAGTTTCAGTTTCCTAACATCGATATCTAGGAGAGAAGGAACCAACAAATCAATAGCAGCCACAGGTCCAGAGATAGCCCTTGGCAGAGGGATACCTGTGCCTTCGTGCCTCCTCATGCAGCAATGTGATTTCAGATGGAACACTGTTCACTGAATCAATTAAAGGGGTGGGTGCATGTTGTGCCAGAACCTTTGAAATTCTCCTAAGAACAGGAACATTACCGGGAGACTCGTGTGTTTGTGTACAGGTTTCTCCAGGGAGCATTTCTCTGCCCAGGTACTTTCCTGCCGCAAGTTTGGCACTTGCTGGAGAGAGCTCAGCTTTAAATCAGGCTCCATTCCAACTGAATTGTTAATCACCACAGTTGGAGTTAGTGCAGCCCAGCAGAGAATTCCACAAAGACAGAG